GAGGATGTCTTCAGGCCAATTAAAGCCATTCTTCTAGATCAATAACATACACTCATGAAATCTGTTTCATGTTTATTTGCCAGAAACTGTTCCATCAAATTATGTTTTGCTGGGTTACATTTTTTTAAAAACACTGGTATTTAAGAAAACTCTCACAAGAGATGAGAACTGGCTCATACCAATTAAGCTGTTTTCATAACTGTTAATCCGAAAAGCACTGCAGGTCTTATTGTAACAACTGGTGGCAGGCTGGTGTATATCAGTCACATGGGTCAAACACTAAAATGAATGTTTCCATAGAAAAGATTGAAATTTCGCACAGCTGTATGAAGGCAAAAGCTGTATTGAAAGCCCACTGCTATCAGTTGGCATTACATTCCAACAGATGTTTTCAATTAAGTAAGCAGGATCTCCTTTCAAGGGATTTAAAACAAAAATGTGGACAATATGGAATGGGGAAACTTACATATATATTTGGACAATCACTCCAGCAATCCCTTACCACTGGCCATGTCAGCTGGGACTTCAGGAGATTGGAATCCAACATATCTGGTGGGCCAAATTTTCTCTCCTCTTCCTGAAATATAAGATGTCGGTCAAATTTGTGTTGCTTAGAGCTGTGGTCCCCAACCTTGGGCCTCCAGATGTTCCTGGACTTCAACTCCCAGAAATCCTGGCCAGCAGAAGTGGTGATGAAGGCTTCTGGGAGTTGTAGTGCAAGAACATCTGGAGGCCCAAGGTTGGGGACCACTGGCTTAGAGCAGTGGTTCTTAACCTTTGTTACTCGGATGCTTTTGAACTGCAACTCCCAGAAACCCCAGTCAGGACAGCTGGTGGTGAAGGCTTCTGGGAGTTGCAGTCCAAAACTCCTGAGTAACCCAAGGTTAAGAACCAGTGGCTTAGAGTACTAAATTGCACTAGAGTTGGCTCATCTGAACTTATGGAGTTGACTAATACCCATTGGTTCAGTGGGTCTACTCTTGTGCAATTTATTGTGCTAAGCAACAAGATTGTATTCAGTGTTGTTTAGTTCTACATTGTTAGAGTTAACTTGTAAATACCAGCATGTGCTCCATTTTAATCTGTACTTGAGCTAGTTGGTTTTATCAGCTTCTTTTCCATTAAAACCACAATAGAATATGTAGAAGGAAAATGACTCCATATGGTCTGAGGCTTAGAGCCACATGACAGCTAGTACAAATATGGCAAGAATTCACACTTAACCCAAAAGAAACAACAAAATGAGAGGGGACTTGCTCCTGCACTTCTCAAAACAGGCATGGTTATGTTTTCCAGTTTGTCACATAAACACTACTGCCATCATGTGGTAAGCCAAAGCAAATCAGTAAGATTTGACAGGGAGCAATAGAACATTCCCATCTTTCATTGGATTCAAAACGCCACTTGGATTCTTTTGTCCAATTGCTGTAACACAAAGACATTCCCATGGTTTCAAAGATATTACTGCAATTTCACACAGCGGGTATTTGTTCTGCCAGGCATTAAACCTGGCAACCTTATTAATTGCAACTATAGCGGACAAAAGCAAGAAGAGTTGCGTGATAGATCATAGATATATATATATATGCCTAGTGCAATTAAATTAATTACTAAACCCCAACTGCACAGGATGACGACGTGACCCGAGAACCTCATATCCTTGTATCAAAGAACAGTATGCAGTTTGTGAACCTAGCCTGTGTTCCTTAAACACAGAGGTGTGGATAAAAAAACAAAACAAGAAACAACCTCTTTCATTTTTTGGCTTTACTTGTATTATTTTACAAAGATTAGGCATTCTCATTGAACATATAAAAATAAGTCCCCTTCCCAACAATAGTGTGTGCTGATAATAGTTTTATATGCAGAATGTATGTAGCAAAGAACATACGGGCAGGAGGAAAGTCTAACCAGCGAGAAGATCCAAAAGCAGTCTAAAGTTAATCCTAAAATAACTAGCAGTGCAATGTTATAAACATGAAGCAGCTTTATATTAGCAATAATTTTTACAGTTTTTTAAATACAGAAATAGCACCTTTTACAAAAGGAATGGAGACATGTAAACGTGGTAGGTAGATTCAAGTATATAAATTGTGCACACATTTCTCCCCTTTAGTACCAGAAAATGGAACTTTAAAAAGCCCTGAAGTCCTGCACAATTTTGGGTATGTGCAAGCGTGTCAGCACAAACAATGTGCCAGCCCACTGGCAAAGCCAGGCCCCCCTGCTCCTCATGTTTAGCTTTCATGCAGGGGCGTTTGGACCATCACTGCATCTTGAGTCACTGGCACAGGAGGTCCTTGGCCACCCCATCACTGCAGCTTTACTACTCTAGCTTCTGTTTACAACAGCTTGTCTTTGCAATGATTAATGATAAAAAGATTGGGAATGAGCACCGTCTTGCCATATCAGGATGGTGAAAAGGAAATTAGTATCTAATCCATGGGTTTCAGTTGGTCCTGTGGATGTCGTTGGGCAGCAAATCCCACCCCACCCCCTAATTATTGGCCATGGTAGTTGGGGCTGATGGCAGCTTTAAGTCCAATAATATTTGGGGAGTTCCCATCCTGTATCCGACTCAGCAGCCTATACTACCTGAAAATGTCCAACCTTGCCACTGTATATGCAGTACAGAAAATCAGACCAGCTAAGCAGCACCGCCTACACAGTAAGCTGTGCAATGTTAGCACAGCTTTAAGGGAGCTTCTCCTAAACTGCCAGCTCAGAATTAATGGGACAACTGCAATAGAAGGAATTTGCCCTTTCTTAATGATGCCTTTTTAAGTCCAACTTTCTGTTGACAGCACTCCGCAGATGTTCCTGCCACACAGATGACTGTTGGTCATCCACAAACATTTTGTGAAGATGGATGCAAATAAATATACTCATTGAAAGAAGTTATGGGAGGAATAATTTCACCTCTTTCATTTTAACTTCTTGTTCCATGTGACCAAACACAGCAAGAGTATGCCCAAGAAAAGAAGCTTAGTACTGAATACAAAAGCATTGAAAGTATGCTTTGAGCCAAAATGGGTACCAATTTGCGCCAGCTGAGAAGAGGTAGGCATACCAGTATGTTCCCCACCAGTAATAATTATGCTTGTTTCTGTTGTTAACAGAAGATTTCACTTCACTTGGAAAACGTTAATTTACATGCATAAAACAAACCAGGTAAAAGTCACAAAAGCAACACACATTTTGTAGTGTAAAATCATTTAAAAAACCTGACAGTAACTGGAAACAACGAAGGGTCTTGTGGCAGCTTAAAGACTAACACATGTATAATGGCACAAGCTTTCATTGATCCAGTCCATTTGCCAGCGGAGTGGACTATGGCTATGGAAGCTTATGCCCTTATAAATAAGTTTGCCTTTAAGCTGCCACAGGACTCCTTGTTGACTTTTCTGAAACAGACAAATAAGGCTACCATTCTGAAAACAATAACAGTAACCAGGCTCCCTTTCTGTATGTTGTACATTTCCTATGATTTCACTGCAATGGTTTAAGATCTGCCAGTTTACCATCCTCCTTGTAAGGCTATTATTGGTATAACCTAACATAAATACACTTTTTTTTACCAACACACTGTGCTGTGCTACTAAGATTACTTCATTTGTTTTTAGTAAAAACATGTCCTTATTTATAATTAAACCTAAAATATACACACACACAAACACTCTCTCCATCTTCCTTAACCTGCTGAAATATCAGTAAGAGTTCCTGACCTCCAGAAACATGTATCATGAATACAGAGTAATCCCTACATTTAAAAAGAGAGCCAATATTGCTATCCTCTTGCTTGATTATTGATGTAAAGATTACACAAGGATGGATTTAAAACCACTATGTGATGAAGTAAACTCAGTCTATACTACCCAATTAATTTGAAAAAATGTTCACTGCTCTTATGTTCCAACAGCTACAATTCGGGAATTCTCAATTAACTTGTATCCTTCATTATGCTTCCTTAGATGATCCATAGATAAATCTAGTTTCTTTCACTAATCACTCCATAATTTGGCAATTTCTATTCTAGGCAACAAGTCCTCCATTGCTCACCCCCAGGCATTCCTCCTGATCTCAACAGCTACTTGTGCCATAAATACCACGCTCAAAGTGTTTTTCAATGGAAATTGGATACATTAATTGTGTAACTCTTACAAAGTCTGTGTTCCAAGCATATCAGTTGAAGTAGCAACAATTTCTTACAGAGCCTGTGACATAATTATAGCTAAGGCATTCTCAGCGCAATGCCATAAATGAAGTTTCAGCTCAGTTATAAAATAGGAATAACTGTAGCTTTTATATGTGGGCATTAAAGATGAATTGCTACCACACACATTTTAGAGACTTGTAATCACCTGCTAGTCTCTATGGCAGCCTTTCTCAACCTAGTGCTATGTGTAACCAGCTGGGGGCTTCTGGGAGTTGTAGTCCAATACAGTGGTGCCCCGCATAGCGACGATAATCCGTTCTGAAAAAATCGTCGCTATACGGATTCGTCGCTATGCGGGGCAAAAAACCCCATAGGAACACATTAAAACACATTTAATGGGGGTGAGTTTTTCCTATGGGGAAAAACTCACCTTTAAGCGAAAATCCTCCATCCGGCCGCCATTTTCGGTGCCTCTAAAGCGAGGCAACACAGCGGACAGCCATTTTGGAACCGCCAATCAGCTGTGCGAAAATGGGGCCTTTGGGAGGACAGTGGGGAGCCCTCCCACGCGGTCCTCCCAAAGTCCCCGCCGCCCTGGCCGTGGCAGTGCAGTGCCTCAGTCTCCCTGCCCAGGCTGGAGCTGCAAGGGTTGGAGAGAGAGCGAGCGCACGGAAGCACAGCTGATCAGCGGGTTTGCGAAGCTGGCTTCCGCACGATCTTTGCAAACCCCCGCTGATCAGCTTTGCTTTGGGGCTCTCTCTCTCCACCCCTCGCAACACAGCTATTTTCCCCTATTTAAAACATTGCAATGCGATCGCTTTTGCGATCGCAAAAACTGAATCGCTATGCAGATTCATCATTAAATGGGGCGCTCGTTAAGCGAGGCACCACTGTACATCTAGAGGCTACCAGGTTGGAAAAAGGCTCCTTTTAGGTTCAGGAAAAGCTTTTGTGCTAATTCATAAGCAACATTTACATTTTGTGCAGAAACAAAGAAAGAATAGAGAACTACAATGCTTATTAATACAAACCCCACTGGAAAATTTTAAACTTCACAGTTATTTTGGTCTTGACGTATTTCACAGAAGAACATTCATCTGTACTGCAAGTTATCTGACCTTTGCTTAACAAGTGCAGAGAAAATTGTACATCAGTCACATTCAAGTACTCTGCAAAAGCTTGCGGTTCTGAAGTTGCAAGTGATGTCCATGGGACTGCAGTCCAACCCCAAGACAAAGGAGCAGCTGCTCTGCTACTTCACACAGAGATCCTCCCTGCCCACCTCACATACTGACACAGGATAACCAGACTACTTTTAAAGAGTGTCCCACCCTATATATAAGTGCTTGCCAGCTTCCCCTTTTGGGACCAACACAGTTGAACCTGTTCACACATCCTATCACAAATAAGATTAACTTTTCTTTTTCTTAAGATCTCCCCCAGTGGAATGGAAGCTTCCCATACCCTGGCACATACATAGTCTAAAAATTTGATTAGAATTAGTTTTATATAACTAGGGTGAATCACATGAGAAAAAAGTTAATAGAATAGTGGTCAAAATGTTCACTGGGAAAGTGTGCCTTTGGAACGGTTGTTTAACACATTCTCCCTCCTTCTCTCATGTAATAATTGATTCTCTCTGTAACATGTATAATGGCTCTGTTCTAAGCTGCCTGCACCTCAGCAGTGGGTTGGATTAGTCAGTGCTGTTGCTGGAGATTTCTAATCTTCTCTGAACAGAACTTGCGGTTCTGCTCTGACTGCCTTCGTTTTTTCGCCACATAACAGGATCCTCCAAGCTGCCGGGTGTCTTGAAAAAGGCTTCTTGCGGTGCAGGACGCATGTTCTTAGGAGTCAATGGGGTTGAAGAAGGCTATTCATAAAGAAAGACAAAGTGGTTCAGTTTTCTTCTCAAGATCAATGCTTTCCCCCAAATGAAGTGGTTTCTTTTTTTAAAAATAAAAAAACAAAACAGTTGTAAGCTGCAGGGAGTAACAGCTATCAAAAAAGATGGAACTGGAATTTAACCCCAGGGATCAGTTTGGTTGAGTAGGGCAACCTGCATACTAAGACCAATACTTTGAAAAGGAACCAGTGACCACATTTTTAAATTTGGAGATATTTTATCCTAACTTTCTGTTTTTAAAAAATGTCTAAGGCAGTGAAAAAAACACCAAAAACAAGTATTTTAAAAAAAAAGAAACAGGGCAGTAGTCCTTCTCTAGTCTGCCCTTCTTGGAAGGTAAATAGTGATCATCCTGACCAGGTGTGGTTG